TATTGTCTATTTTACAAAAACTGGTATCAAACAGAAATTCCTTTACCTTATTAGGGATACTATTAGGTTAGAAATAAAACAAATATCTCATCAAAGTTCATTAAATATTTTCGTACACTAAAATCCGCAGTCTAGTAATTATGAATACAATTTGAGTAAATAGATGTTCCGTTAATGAATCCATGATAAAGCATGTTTACTCGTCATTACTTTTCGACCGAATACAAATTAGTTACGTGAAGCATCGAATAAAACGTGCAGTCAAGTAATTATCCCGATTAATTTCTTTATCCGCTAAAGATAGATTTGTGCATTATTTGAATAAATAATTTATAACTGATGAATAATCTACCATTTGAACAGACACAAACCTCAAATTTTTGAAGCTTTAGAAATAACAAACTTCTTTAATATCTTTTTTTATATCTGTTTATATAAACACGATTGCGTAGAATTATATGTCAAGTAAATTATTGTGCAGCTGTAAATAACTACGGGATTGGGACAGTGTCATTAGCCAAAGAGCTCCAAATTCAACGTACTCGAAAAGAAAAATATGCAAAATTTTATTCCAGTAGATCTTGTGAAAAAATGGAAGTATATTTATACTTTACACGTTATTCGAAATAATTTTACCAAACCTGTTATTAATTCTTACAATTAGTCTGAAAGGTAATTATCGATTGTTTATTTAGATACTGGGTTAGTGCAACTATTGAAGTTTAAACGAAGTTTCGTAATATAAATCTATATTTATACAGGTATGTATATTGATTTAAGATTTTAACCAATCGCATTTCAATTCAATGTCTGTTTTCATTTACTTGAAGCAACGGTTAAGTAGTTTTCTTGCCAAACCAAATAGAAGCGAAAAAGTGATACGCTTAAGGTTTAACGACATATAAATCATACAAAATTAACAAGAACAAGCTCATTTTTCACTGTATTGTAGTCTGCACTATTATCTTCTGAAATCTATAATACAAAATCTATGTTACTTTTGAAATTTGTATAAAATATTTGTTTTAAGAATCTTCTACAATTTGTTCACTTTGACCCGATAGCAGAGTACATAAAGTGAAATATACGCAGGGCAACGTGAAAAATAAGTTACAAAATAAATAAAAGAGAAAATTAAGAAAAAATCAATATTCATAGAATGAAGTAGTTAAACCCTGCCAATGTCAGACACGCGTCGCCCACTCCAAAACAAAAGTTACACTAAAAGTTACACTAGATTTTCGACTTATTTTTGCACATAGAATTGGACCCTTTGGGATTGTATCGCCATTTCAGAAAAACCCGTGAATACAGTTGCTTGCAACGCAAGAATAAAAATCGACAAAATTTTATTCAAACATCTCGGAAGCTTTCGAAATTAAAGTATACGAAACAAATCAATAAAAACCGATCCTTGTCGCCGTTTCCTGGCAGAAACGTAGCGGAGTGGCATTTGCAAGCCACTGGAAAGAAATGAACGATGACTCAGTGACGTAATGCGAACGAAGAGCGTTCTCATAACTGCAGAGACGAGGGGTACAGCTGGCGGAGAAGACAGAGATAATAACTATAGATATGGAAAGGGGAGAAGGAAGAAGCTATTGGAACGGGAACACGCCAGGGCGACCTAAAACAATTCCCACATATTCCCTTCACGACCCTGCTAGCCGCGTACCTCTGTGTCTTGTTCTACCCTTCACGTACCAGTGATACTTTCTCTCCCCAATATCATTCGAAACCTTTCTCAACAGCAACTTTTTCCATTTCACCTTTATGTTTCACGACTGCTCGTCTGACGTAACATTTCACACGCAGAACGATACGATAATTTGCTGCGCGCCCCCCGACTACTTTTTCTTAGCATTCAGCCGTTTCCAATAAAGGTCTCTAACCCTCAAAATAATTGTCCTGTCGAACCGGTGAATTTTCCACGAAAGAAATTGTAGGCTATGAAGTTTCATAATTGTAGGTTAATCCTTCTATTTTTTTTCTAGATTATGTGACATATAAATGATTCATAAGAACTGTTTAACGTTCTTTTAATGTGATTTAATGTCATTTCTCATGCATTGCCAATTGGCAGATTTTTTATTTTCGTCACAATTATGTAAAATAATTTAAGTACTTTATACAGTTATTATATATCTTATATATACAGGGTGGGGCAATAATTATGTCCACTTTGAATGTTGCCGTTATTTGTAATAATATGAAAAAATGTTATATACAAACCTTACACGGTATAGAGGGGACCATATTGTGACACAAACATTTTCTACGTGGGTGAAGGCATAGAGGAGATTTCAAGGTCATCTCTATGTTTTTTAATAGAACGTTATATTTTTTTTATCGCGATGTGATTGCCGGTGTTGAGACGACTTAAGCGAGCTATCATTGAAGGTCATTCAAGGTCAAATGTAGTAGTAAAATAAACTTTCTTACATTACAGGAGATGCTCAAAGTGGTGACCGTTTGCGTCAATGCAAAGTTGCAATCTTCGTATCGCTGCATCACGTGCATGTCTTATCGTTTCTGAACTTATTCTAGCACATGCTGAAATTATCCGTTGTTTCATATTTTCTGGTGTAGTGGGTACTTTTTGATAAACAGCATTTTCCAATTCTTTCTATATGTTTTGCCACAACATAAACAATGTTACAAGACCATTCGTTTATGTAAAAGTGAGGGTCTATGAAATAATACAGCATGTGCTAGAATAAGTTTAGAACTACTGATTTATATTTATCTCTTCTTTTATTTCTAGAAATATAGAGAAAAAATATCAATTCTTACACATATGCTCGCATTCTACGTGAAGTTTTAAATTAAAATTACCTTTTTCGTCGAAAACAACATGTAACATTCCGTTCTGTGCCGTTTGTTTGTTTGTTTTTTATTTTCGTACAAGAAATCAGCCTATTCGTGATTATATTATTGTTGCCGCCGCATCCTGCGCAATAACATTTCCATTGGAACGTGTAGTCGAATTACACGCCAGTTGTTAGAACACGCAATCGTTACGATACGCATGGGAACTTAATCAACGAATCCGGAAACATGCCTCTTGATTGTAAAATCTCTCAGTTCTCGTTGAAACGCCGCGCTTCGAGTCCCTTTTTCTACTATACGTAGTAGTGATTCGATTTTTCGATAACGAAAAAAAAATGAAGTTCCTCGACACATAAGTTTTTTGCAATTTTTCGTGAGTTTTTAAATGGTTCAAAATGGACTTGTTCAATTATATTTTGCCTCTTGTGACATTGAATTTTGAAGATGTTTTAATCCACCGGTTACACGAAATTTTTAAAATGACTTCTTTCACTTTTTATCATTCTCTTATGTAAATATCTTATATAATTTAAACCTATATGTACAGATCTTAAAAGTATGTTTAAAGACAACGCCACATTTACATTGTAAAATCAATGATGTAAAATTAAATTGTCATCGGAAAATAAACCAAAAATACACGTGATGAGGTGTGCATATTAAGTCATATCTGACAATAGTTCTCGTAGAACTAGATGGAAAAGTTATAATTTCATCCGTATGTATCATTAAATAGACAATTTAAATATCTACTTCTCTTTAAGAACTTTAGCCAACAGATGGACGTAAATGTTTATTTAATTAAATGAAAAATTAAGTACTTTAGCTACTAATTTTTGAGCAGCTAGTGTACAGCTTTGACCAAAAGTATTAGGCACCTAACTAAAATAGGAATTTTTAAATATATTTTCGTATTAAGAGAAAATCACACTGCTAAAATGTGGAAAGAATGATTTTTTATTCATTTTGTAAATATTTTGTTGGACTACTCTTTGCCCTAATGACCAACAATCACAACAGTTTCTTTCTGACTTTAACCCTGTTCTTTAAAAAGTAAAGGATTAACTTGTGTTGTAGTTTACACAGTTCGCTCTTTTTTGGCATGTTTCACGGAAAACTTTCTAATTTTTAGAATATTAACAGCAAAATTAAAAACAAAATGATGAGGAAGAAACACAAAATTTGTAGTATGGACCGCTTAGTTTACTTTATGGCCCATTAAACATTCTCAACTGTTTTGAAACTCCGTTTGAACTGCTCGACAAAGGATGACGAACAATAGAAATATTTCAAGGAAATTGTTTTCGCAACAAGCTGTAATAATAAATGTGCCTAACATTTTTAACCAAGACTGTCCGACGTTCACGCGACAGTGAGTGTCTACATAATAACACTAGTTTACAGTCATTTGGTGATCCAGACTTCACTATGAAATTCTTATGGAAGGTGGTCGTCTGAACTCAGAAATCGACATGAGACGTAATTCTATGGATTTTTAAAGAGACACCCTGTATATGCTTTCAATGTTTCGATTTTTTATTGGGTTTTTTTCATTGGTCCACATATTCTTCACTAATAAAAATGCTCTTTCAGTGAGGGCATTAGACCAAGGGAGACATGATCGAAATTCAACGATTTTTAAAATGGTTTCAAAAGATACGCCTTTATATGCAAAGTATTTAAAAATGTCAACCCATCTACGTTGACAGTATTCGTCATTTTGTCGCCATTCTTCGATCTTTTCACTAGTGACACACCTTTATTACTCAAAACTTCATGAAATAGTTCCCCATCATTTATGTATAAGTTCACTATTTTCATTCGCAGTGTGAAGGGCAAAGTAGCCATTTTAGAAAAAAAATAATTATAAAGGACAATATGGATATAATAAATACATAAATAAAGGACGTACGGTCATCGTAAGTATAACCCATCACGTCGGATGTATTATATTTTACGCGTATTTTACCCGTATTTTTAGTAACTAATAACTTGAAACCAAAGGGAATCACAACCTTTAAAATTTAAAAGAAAAACAATTATTTTAACATGTGTCCCCGTGAAACCACACAACTTTTTTTTGAAAAATTGTTTCGCCCATTAAGTAATTTTAACAAAAGCTACAGCAGTGTTTAATTCGTTGAAACATTTATTTGATTCCTCTGTTCCAGAAAATGCCCGTCATCAAGAGAGAAGCGGAAAGCGTGTCAGAAGTAAACCCGATGGAGGACGTCGTTGAACCAACGTTAGAAGCAATCGGGGCCGTCGATGCAATAGAGACCAAAGGTAGTAAACGATGTTTTGAAAATCGTCTTATCTTTATGCGTAATAGGAACGTATATGAAACATTTCTAATATTTCGTGACTAACTTTTCGTGTGTACCGCAGCGACGACGGATGCCGAAATGGTCACCGAAAGCGTAGGGAAAACGTTCGAGACCAAAGTGGAGGATCTGGGGAAGGAGCTCGCGGAAGAAATGGGAATACCAACATGGGGTCTCGTGTCCATTCTAATAGGTACAATCGACCATTTCCCACAATTTTATTGTTTCTTGTCAGATATCATTAATAACTGGAAACTGTTATTAATCTAAAGAGTAACGCATGTTGATTGCCACGCGATTTAAGAAATTTGATGTTTCTACGCCCTTTCCAAATAGGGATAAACAGGCAGATTTAGAATAATCTACCGACATTAAAATATTGCTCCGAAGGATACAAACCTGCTGCACAGCTGTTCAGATTTTATACGTACGTTTCATACTAGAGCTGTGATTTGATAAAATACCCGGGTACCCGTGAGATACCTGGGTATACAAAAATTACCCGAGTACCGATGAGATACCCGAGTAAAGGAAAATTACCCAGGTACCTGGGTATCTATGAGATATTCGAATATATAAGACAGTCGAGAATTTCGATTCGGAAGTAGATCGTAGCCGCGATGACATACTACGCTACTTAGCACTCGCGTTACTCTGCAAAAATATGACTTACTCATTCTTATAATATAATAATAATTAAATATTATATAACTTTTGTTACGCCTAACACATGTTATGTTATGATACTTGCCGAATTCGTCTTGAAATTCTCTAATAGATAGGCGTAAAAAAATTATAGGTATATTTGCAAAAACGTGAAGGTGACCTTGAAAAATCATGAAAAAAGAAGAGGTGACAAAACATTTGCTATAACCACGTTAAAGCTCTCTTGAATTTATTTTTATTATTGTAATATCATTTTCAGTTTTTCTCAGTTTATTCCAGTTATTGTAGATATCGATTGAAAATGATAAAAAAAAACCAAGTCTCATTATTCGGATATCGCATGTATATTCGGGTATCTCATCGGTACCCGTAAAAGTAATAGCCCTATTTCATACACACAATTCAGGAATTCTCATATTATAATGCATCCTCCAGTATACATCCAATTCTATTTTTACACGATATGAACGTTCCGGAATAATGGGTGTAAAAAATTACTGTATCTATAGAAGTGTAGAAGATTGGTTTCAAACCTAAAAAATTAGCAAAAATAATATAATAAACCATATGGAAGTTCATATTAGAATCTTATCATTATTACGTGTTTGCACTTCATATTTTATAAACATTGTACATGTATATAAAAATATATTATATCAAGTAAGTCATCACTTGAGAAGAAAAAAAAAATATCTTGGTCGTCGTCTTTTTGTTCCATTGGTGAAATTCTTTCTGTGATCTCTTGAACAGTATGAACACTAATCTCTTGTGGTGCCAATGTTTCACTTGTTTTTGGAACGAATTCAGTTATTAAACGTTGTGTTCGTAATTTGGCTAGGCTACTCCATAATTCTCTCTAGGAATTCAAAGAAACCGTTAATGACTTCTGATCACGTTGAAACTTTCCAGCTTCATCCTCATTAGGATCATGTTTGACAAAAGTATTAGCCAATTTACTGGCCAGTTTAAGACCTTCATTCAAGATATTTCATAAAAAATTGTTTCTTACAATTCGGGTCGATCGTGTTAAATCAAAATAGTTCGTGTAAACAGGGAATTCAATTTTTTTTCTAATTCCTGTTAAATCAAAATCGTGTACAAAAAATTCGTGTAAAAACAGTATTGAGTGTACTTACCTTCAACACAAGCATTCATGAGTTTTATATGTACCTATGTATATCTTAACTTCGTATATTCAACATACTGCCCCGACAACAATTTGTGTACAAGTTTCGAGCGAATTGCCAGCAATAAATGACAAAACTTGTCTAAAAGAATCATAACCATCTGTTTCCGCATTTAATTTGGGTTTTTACAGGCAACGCCAGCTGACACAATGGTAAAGTAGATTGGCAGAAAGTCTTGCAACATAACCTATGTCAAATTGAGGGCAAAACCGGAACAAGGTTTGCGCATGCCAATTTGCTGCACATGTTGCTGCCAATTTACTGTCTATGTTGCTGCCAATGTGTGCGCAAGTTGTTTATAGCAAATCATGCATCAAACTTGTAGCCATAACTTTGTAACAGGTATTTGACAAAATTTGGCTTTGCAGGTTTGGCGGACTGATTCGTTATAAACACTTATGTTTTTAATTCTATAATATACATACATATATAACATACAGTATTGTGCGAATTAATGATGAACATATGTTTTACACCGAGAGACATGTCTGAAGTCATAAATTCTGTATCTTGCCTTCGCTAAATTTTATTGCCAGCGAAAAGTAGAATTTTCTAGGATTTACTTTACCATTTCTTATTAAAACAGTCTCATCGTAAATAGTACTCTTTCTTTTCCTTTCACACTTTCCTCTTCGCTTCAATTCAACCGATCCAGTTTCCCTTTTTCGTTTCAAAATCTTATTTACTGCTCCTAGACTCGCGCCTCGGCCCCTTAATATACGCCTCTGTGTGACTGAAGTGTGTTCACCTGAGGTCGCAATTCTTTCTCGCCTTCTCGAAGCGATATCCTCGATCAAAGTCGACTGATCAGAGATACTACACTATTTTTAATGACAGAATATACCTTTCGATGATACTTTTTATACTAAGATTAAATAGAGTGAACGTTTCGTCATCAACACAAATTGGATTAAAGGTTATGTTTCGCACGTAACACAGTTGCCAAAGCTAACGCAACCATGTCCCCAAATGCAAAAAATCTCGAATAATCACTGTTTTTGTATTATTTCGCATAATACTGTATGTATTATGTCTATAATATTACTCTTAATTGTTTGACGCCCAGTGTTGCAGCATTGGCGCAACATTGACTTTAAAAGTGCGTCAACTTTTGTTATCGGTTAATATCTTACTTTTGTCAGCAAGGATCCGTGGGTTCATTGATTTGAAGTACATCCCCAAGTTTTTAATTGAAACATTCAAGTTTTACCTCGAAAAAAAAAATGAAAAACAGAGGGTCTGGTCAATATTGATATTTTCGACGTAATAACAAAATACAACATATAAACCAGTCACGTAATTTAAAAATAACGATTTAAGAGTCTGGGCATTAAAGGGTTAAATCATCTTGATTACTCCTGGTCACTAAAGTATTTTCATTTTAAGGAAACTAAACTATAAAGTAAAAACTAACTATATACTAAACTATAATAAGAGAACTAAAACTATTCTATTTACATAACTGGTTCATACCGAGTCATAGGACAAATAATGATATAAATAGCTCAATTATATGGTTTATAAAACGCTTTGAAATATTTTTGTTAAAGCGGAACTGCCGTCAGTCAATTAATAATTAACTCTAATTGGCAGCCAAGTATGGTCAAACCATTAATGTAGATGGCTAAACGTGTAAAATATTTTACTGATTTTGCTTACATCGATAACTCGACAAAGAAAAATAGTTTAACATGGCAAGCAACCTGGCAATCACAAAAATTTTTCACGCAGGCAGTAACAAAACAAAAAGGAACACAAAGAGGACGAAATTCAATTAAGAGTACATTCTGGTGTAAACATTGTAAAAAACAACGGTACTTTTAGGATTTTTATAAACAACAACTTGTAGACATTAAGTAAGCAATCGGTTTATTAATCTACACTTTAAGATACGAACATAATTTTTTATGTTATTTTGTTTATAACATACTGTGAACACCAGTAGTGACTGTAACGTAGAAAAAACGAATGTCCAAAAGGTGTACCTAAAATCTCGAGATCCAGTTGTCTGAAATCAAAAATTTTCATAAAACTTATAGGGATTACAGAAAAGGGCTTTACAAAAATCCTAGAAAGACTGCTTTTTATAGTGTTCACACCAGAATGTATCTTTAATGTAAATTATTGACTATCATTTCCATTTGTTTACCGATTACTTGATTGAACTCTTTACAGAACGTTCAGATATTCCTGACCCTTTATACTTTTCAGGCAGACAACACTAACCCGTTCAGCTTACTTTGTTCCCGTTAAATCGGGTCCACGTGGACTCCACACTCGAGCAAATTTCACTTGTTCACATAATCCATTGTACGATCACAATATTACTCACGATAGTGTGCAAGTAATTCCGAGAGAATGCTTCCGCAGGTTGCGTATTGCGCTTAATAGATGCGTGACGCGTTTGGCGAACGATTTTTAAGGGGCAAGCGGGGCGCACTTGTTCCCGGGTGCGGCGTTTTAACCCGTAGTAAGGTACATTGGTGCGAATTCGTACCACTAAAAGTTTTAAGTGTTCAGTATTTTCAATATCTTACGTTCATTAATTAACTGTAAGAAAATCTTTATTAAATTTTGTTTAACTGAAACAATTTTTTTCACTATGGTGCACCATTTCAACTGTACAATCTAGCAAGATTTGTTTCATTTCATTGTCTTGCAAAAAGATAGCATAAAAAATAAGAAAAATTGATTTTTTCCTAAATCTTACTTTCCTCAATAAACATTTGTGAAAAACGCGAATCTTCCATGGAATCTAGGTTATCACTAGACTGTAGATTTTTACGCAAAATCACATTTTAGAAGGTTGTACATAAAGACAAAGCAAAAGTAGAAATTTCTTTCTTTCCATAAGAATCTTATTGGGTTCCAAAGAAAATAGGCAACTCGTTGCATCTGACGAAAGTTTTGTCCTCCATTGTATTTCACAGAAACCTATAGGCTTTAAATGCATACAATCCGCAGTCTAGTTATCACCAATCGATTCTTGAGGAAATTTTCTATGTAAAATCATATGTTTCATTGAAACATTATTATTTATGGTAAATATTTACAATAAGGGAGTCACCTCTGATTCTGACAATTTTTCAATATGTTGTCAAGATCATCATTGTGAGTAGTGTTGTGAAGGTTTTAATTGGGCATCGCCGTTTATGAAAAAGTTATTATCGAAAAAAGTTTAGGTAGATAATTATTTAGAAGTTTGGCCTTCTTGTCGATTTCGATTCGCTGAAATTAAAATGAATATCTTGTTTCAAAATTACTATCAAAGACAAAGTATCATCCCCCAAAACAATACACAAGCTTCTTAGTCTACTTCAACAAGTAGAAACTCGTCTATTGTTTTGAGTTAGTTATTATCAAAGAAGGTTACTGTTTTCTTAAACTGTCTGTAACCAACTCTGATCAGTATAATACTTCAGAGTTGGTCAGGCACAGTTCAAAAGAAAAAAGTAATTCGGAGTTGGTTAGAGACAGTTCAAGAAAAAGGTATCATTGATCTCTTATAACTATACCAAACCCGTCAAAACGACGGATTACAGACTTACTATTTTTCCATTACTGCAATTACAATGGTGCTTTTGATGGAATTTAGGTTCACTTTTAATTTACCACAGACTTTATTTTCTGATATATTATGCTAGATTGCCTTATGTATTCTGTATATTATTGTATTATACAATTTAATTTAATACACACTCAATGCTGATAGGTCCAGTGTTAAAAACTTTTTAATAAACACAATTTGATAATTGAAACTCTCTGAAGGTCACTCAGGAGGGTGACCTTGACAACATATGTCCAAATCCAGGTCATGGATCACTTTACTTATCAATACTACTAAAGTACGACACAAAACTTTTGTCGATAATAACTTTTTTACAAACCGCGACCTCCAATTAAAACCTTCACAATACTACTCAGGGTAGTGACCTTTACAACACATTGAAAAATCATCGAAATCGAAGGTGGCACCCCGATTTTAAATATTAACCTTAATTATTTGTAGAAGTTACAATACATCAAAGTTTGAAAATCTCGATTCGCGCCAGTGTCCCTACAGTGGGTGCTGGAACGAGGTCTGCCTACCACGGGTTAATTCGATCGAATTTTTTCTTTTTTCTCGCTTGAGTAGCCGTAGGCGTAATAGTTCTCGGAATCTGCTTTTGCTGTATAAGAAGATGCTGTCGCAAAAGACGGTCCAAAGACGGCAAGAAAGGGCTGAAGGGGGCGGTGGACCTGAAGTCCGTACAGCTACTGGGCACCACGTACAAAGACAAGGTACGTGTTCGGTGTGCCGTGTCTTTCTGTAGATGTTAGACGCACATTCTACACTCGTGGAATCCACTTCGATTTGTTAAGGTCCAGCCGGATATGGAAGAGCTGACCGACAACGCGGAGGAACCGGACGAGGCTGAAAGTAAACAGAGCGAAGTGAAACTCGGGAAGCTTCAATATAAGGTATAACGTTAGATTTCCTTTTGACTTTATTAGTTTTGGGAAATCTGTCGTAAGAAGTCAATTTAAGACTAGAACTACCGAATTCGTCAAAATAACGAATTTCAGATTTTTTATTTTACAATTACTGAAATTCTAGAACTGATAGTTTCATTGGAATTTATGTTAACCTCTAATTCTTTATACACTTTATATTATAGTGTACTAAGCTATATTGCAATATATATTACACAATTTACTTTCATTGGTAATTATTGAGTAAAATATTTGATTTTAAGGGATGTAAGGCAGCATTTTAACTTTATTTTCATACATTAATTATTATTTAAAATTACGAATGGTTATAGAACGTTGTCTAGTGTCATGTCTGGCAGGATCTTATCAGCTGACATTCAGCATATCTCCCAAACTATTTACCCAATGATTTCAAATTTGGGCATATTGTTTCTCATAAAATTATTTACAATATTTTCTTTTATTGAATTTTTATGAATTTTCAAAGTTGACATGTTTCAGTGAAAAAATTTTTTCTTCGTAAAACGGTGATTTCCTTATTTTTTAAAATTATGTAATGTTTTAAATTAATTCACATTTAACAATCGTGGTACAACACTGGTAATTCTGTAAGAAGAAGTAAGTCGAACAGAAAGAATACATTCTTTTCGTTTAAGGTTTGATGTTTCCAGAAAATCGGATTTGACAATTAATCTGAAACGCGGGTAATCGTTATAGTAATAAGTAGAAACGGAATGCAATAAACAGACAATAAACAGACAAATCCGGTTATCTCGAAAACGAAGCCATAAATGAAAAAATGTTATTCTTTATTTTCGACTTACTTTTGCATGAAATACCACCTCCGGCCCGGTAGTACCACGATTTTGGAGACACCCGGTATAGACATGCTGAACGAGCATGAGGTATCATATAAAATGAAAAGTTGTATTTATTTACTTGACATCAGTGAAGGTCGGGGCTTATTGTTGATAAACAGTGTTTATTATTGACTTCACATTAAAAACCGAATTAATATTTAGCTATTAATTATTATTACAATATAAACTATTATAGTATATCCTAATAGCATAACTAGATTATTTCATAGTATTATATAATTAATTCATTAACTTGGTTGAATGGTTTGTTACACGTGTCCACAATGAATGATAAAGACACGCTAAATCTTTTACCAATACTTAAGTCGAATCTTTTGATCGATTCGATAATAAATGTACCTTGTGAAAGAGAAAAATTTTTTAAAAAATTATAGCTTGCCACGATGTAAAAAGGTTCGATCGTCTTTTCTTGATTTTTTAAAAGAAAAATCGACAAAACCAAAGATCATGTTAATAAGTATTTATCTGTGGAAAAACAAGAAGTTATGGTCACTATTTCGTTAGTACCTTCTTTAACTAACAGATTGAAAAAGACGGAACGTGAAATATTAAAAGTAGTTTTCTTTCTATTTGACTTCTCAATTCAGAAATACGAATCAGAATTTTGATAGAAGGATTTTATAGAACATTATATTAACCAGACCTGGGCACTTCTAAAATGATATTATTTAAAATATTATATTAATTCAAATAACATGTTATGTTATTAAACAATTATTCCCATGCCTGTGATCACGTCTGAAATAACATTATTTGAAATATTATTTCAAATAACATGTTATTTTATTTTTTAATCGTTTTAAATAATTCTTAGAACTAATTATGAAATTATCACTTGATGGAAAAATTTCAATTACATCCGTGCCTTGTATGGGGAAGTTATTATTAATATTATTAACAAACTTCGACATTATATCAGCTAACTAGGTCTGAAAAATCTCCCACGGATAAGCTTTTCGATGAGCGGGTTCTGTTTAAAGGAAATTGCTGTAAAGATTTCTTATAATAAAATCTTTTTATGGCATATTATTTTTTTTGCCAAATTTGAAATACAAAAATAACAAAATAATTTATTATTTGAAATTGCTATTATTTCAAATGAATCAATAATATTTTTCATTTTCAAATAATAGTATAGGAAATAAAGTTCCGAAATAAACTATTTCAAATAGTTATTTCTTATTTTTATTTCAAATAAAATTTGCCCAGGTATGATATTAATAATAATCATGTTGGATAATAATTGCAGCTCGAATACGACTTCAATACGAACAGCCTGGCGGTAACAGTGATACAAGCCGAAGACCTGCCAGCCTTAGACATGGGTGGCACATCCGATCCATACGTGAAAGTATACTTACTGCCGGACAAGAAGAAGAAATTCGAGACGAAGGTACATAGGAAAACACTCAGTCCGGTCTTCAACGAGACTTTCACATTCAAGGTCAGTCTTCGGTTTCTCTCCATTATTTCGTCGCCGACACCAATGATTTTAATGCGATGCGATACACTCAGACAGACATAGAAAATTAATGAACCGTTCGTACTTTCAGGGCGTCCCCTACGCAGACGCTATGAACAAGACACTCGTGTTCGCGATATTCGATTTCGACAGGTTCTCGAAACACGACCAAATCGGAGAAGTGAAGGTTCCGCTCTGCCAAGTTGATTTGGCTCAAACGATCGAGGAGTGGAGAGAACTTCAGAGCGTCGAGGGTGAAGGCGGCCAGGTAAAATAACGTATACGCATATTTTTTTTTATGTAAGCTTACCACAACCTCTACGAGGTTTATACAGCTGTGCATGATTTTACTCGGTACATTATTTCGGCTAAATTGTTTTTTTAAACTACATAAGTGGTACATTTATTTTACAAATATAACAGTTAGTTAAATTTTGAGCTCGCACTTTTTGAAGAAGACACATTAATTTTAGAGCCTGAATATCGAGAGGTAGAGAGTGTTTACATTTTCTTTATTTTTTTATGAGGGTTCCTCTTTGGGAATCATACGTTGAACGTTGCCAGATAACGTGACTGAGATATTGTGTGTCATATTCACAGTTAGGGATAAACCAATACCGTCAAGGTATCAATACATTTACTCATAACTTGTATTGAAAGAAAGCATCGCTATCTACTTACAATTAGTATCGCCTCAAAAGTATCGATACCTAATTGTACCGAAGGAAAATGAATATAATGATTTTTTTTATCAATATAATGTACTTTAAATCGAGTCGAGCAGAACTTTATTGAAATAATACATAGTGAAAAGCATCAGTACTCGACGGCGTCATCCTGACCTTTAAACAGTTAATAATATTAAATAATTCTTTGCCAAATGTCGATTCATTCAGGAAGAAGTCTTATTTTGTTATAAAAATTGGAATTTCTACGTTTATATGATTATAAATGACGAAATACTTTTTAACGTGTTATTCGAAACACTTTCTCTAGAAAATTAAATTTTCCATCTCTGATTATAACGAAGATATCTTTTATTAACGAACATTTATTAAGAAAGTAATATTAGTAATATAACTGAACGACAACCACCTTCACATTCATTATCTTTCATGTCGAGTACTCGCTTCATTCGATATGAGCACTTTTTTTCGATACCGGGTATATATCGCGAGATTATAATGATTAGCTCTGCATCGATTAATCGTAGTAATTACTCTTTTTGGTAGGTTCCGTTTGTAATACCAAGGTTTACTTGTGTTAGCGTTGTAGAGTTGAAAATATTCTTGTCCTCTCTGTAGGCCTTGTTCTTCATTGCACCTTTTAGTGTTAGAATTGGCATTAAGTTTATATTTTCCATGGAAATCTGTACTAAGTAACTGTATATTGTTCGTTGGCTCCAGTAATGTTGCTTTTTTGGCGAGAGAGTCTACTTCTTCGTTGCTTAGAACATCTATGTGGGACGATACCCATATGCAGCTAATGTCTTTTATATGCATATTTTATGTACATATGTATATATGTCACAGTAAAAATGTGAAATTTAGTCAATTTATACATTAACTAGTGAATATATGCAATTACGTACGAATTGAGCAGAAGTTGAACCGAATGTAATAATGTATACTATTTCTAATAAATGTATTCATTTACTAGATAATGCATACATTTCATACAGCACGTTAGGAAAAGCATAATGTCGAAAGTATAATTTTTTTAAACATAGGTATATTGGAAAAACAGAAATGAAAACTAAAAATTTAAGGCTTTATTTGATAATTTAGGGATCTTTTTTTAGGAAAAGCGGTTGTTTTTATTTAATAGATATAAAAACATAGGTTAAGTTAGGTTATATTTTTATTTAGTACACTTAGAAAGAAACAATTATAATATTAATGTTTGCAACCAAAGTTTTAATAATAAGGAGATGGCACTAAATATGGATATACTTTAGAACAAAAATAAATTTACAAAAGAGAACAGAGTAATCCTTTAACGGTGTTTGACGAGTATACTTGTCATGAGGAAATGACGACTTTTTGGATAATGACAAGTACACTAAAAACCAAATAAGGCCATAACTACGAAATGACGAATTTCGGTCTTGTTTGCGCATATGCCTTTCGGTTACCTTAGTTACCAACGTCGTAAACAATTGTGCATCATTATGCCTCGTGTAGCATCCTACATTGAGTGACTGTGAAGTACAAACGTGCCAATTCATAAGTATTCGTATCTTACTTCATTATGTCACCCGGTATATAACAAATTTGATCGCCCATGTTACAAAGAGACCTCTGGTGCTCATTCCAGCTGCGCGAAGCAGTTATGGTCTTATTTGGTTTTTAGTGTATACTCATCATGTGAAAACAGAAAATACCTTTTACTACAAAAATTGAGATATTAGTAAAAATTGTAAAATATACTTCGTTTATTAAAATAAAGGAATCAAATGGTATGAGGTATTCATGTATCTGAATTTTTCCTCTTTTCTTTAATCACCAACTTTTTAAGTTTCTATTAATAATATTTGTTACATTAATGAACTTTGGAACAATAAAATTATTGTAGGTGCATTTACTCTGCGTTTGATGAGTAGACTCGTCATCTTTTGATTTTAATTACGCGCGCAGATACATATTTCCTAAAACAAAATTGCACCGTGAAAAGGTTAAAAGAAAAGAATATTGCAGACATAGATAGAAAAATGCATGTAGTCGATGAAACGGTTGTAAGGGCAGAAATTGTTAATTGATTCTGTGTAAATTTGTGGATTACAGGATAACAAATTGGGTGACATTTGCTTCTCCCTCCGGTACGTGCCCACGGCTGGTAAATTAACGGTGGTCATTCTGGAAGCGAAAAACCTGAAAAAGATGGACGTCGGTGGTCTGTCGGATCCTTACGTGAAAATCGCTTTGATGCAAAACGGCAAGAGATTGAAGAAAAAGAAGACAACCATCAAGAAGTGCACCCTTAATCCGTATTACAACGAATCGTTTACGTTCGAGGTACCCTTCGAGCAGATAAAGGTACGCATTTTTAACATTTATACATTATCACCACCGTTTCTCTTACGTTTATTTAACACAGTCAACAAACACAGGTAACAGTAACAGTACTATCATTTTAAACTATGCTAACACTCTTACTAACTTAGACAACGCACATTTCTGTTTTATTCGTTTATCGAACAGAAACTACTACAATAATTTTATTAATTACTTTTTTTATACTGATAGAATAAGAAGCAAGTAGTTATATTTATTACAAACGGACATCTTGTATTAATATTTCACTCGTTATTCAAGAAAATCATGATCGTTTTGAATTATGCTTAACTTCGTCCTTGCATTAGGCATGAATAATGCGGTCACATTATAAATTATTGTAAACTGTATATATACGTGTGTGTGTCATGAACTTTCTTTGCAAAGAAAAATTGTGTGTAATTATGAATACAGATGGCCCGTGTGTAGTGTAAGATTGCCCCTTCATAAGACGATAGTAGTACATATAACGTATAGAATTTATACTAAAACAAGCTATATTGTTATTGGTGGACTAAAATGTAATATTTTCTGAGCTTATATTTTTGAAAAATTAAAAATTGCCCTGCATTGTATTTGTAGTTTAAATTTTAGTATCGCTAATTTGCTTCGATCTTATGAAGGGTTTAATATTCAAATAAATATTTTAAAGATGCCATGCTTCCGGACTGTAAGACCATTTACCGTAATATTTTATTATATTATCCATAATGCATTATTTTTTTCTAATCATATGAAAACTGCTAAACGATACATTTTCTAATCGCTCCGCTTACAGTTTCGAAATTAAATTTTATGCATATATCGAAAGACTGCTGTTTTTCTTGATTAAAAAATTTTAATTAATTTCTACCGCTTGCGTATGTGCTCCTTTTTATGCTCACTTTACGCTGAATCTTGTACTTTTTATTCAGCCCAAGAGCCTGCATTCAATTAATTCCATTTGACTACATATACATGGTGGGGTAATAACTATGTCTACTTCTCAGATAGCACCGTACATCCTAAGGACGTCCGTTTCATGTCCAGTTTATATCCGCATGTCCTACGTCCATTTTGGACATCCCTAGGACATTCGTAAGACTTAAATTTCGGATGTTCTAGGAACGTCCGTCCCAAAAGTCCTACGGACGTTCTCAAGACTTAAATTTCGGTTTTAGAAACGTCCGTCCAAAAAGTCCTAAGGATATTCTTAAAACTTACATTTTGGATGGTTTCGTTTAGTATTTTTGCCAATGTCATTCCGTGCAAGGTGATGGAACCCCATGAACAAGGTGTCAGTCTTTAAAGAATCAATAGAGAAGTGTAACGACACTAATGGTTTTGTGCGAAAACCTCAAGAAACTTGAAAAAACATGTTTTTTCTTAAACTCTCTCTAACCAACACAGAATCAGAGTTTTGCTGTGAAAATAGAAATAAACACAATGTACTTGGAGATCATAATCCCCAGATCTATATTTTCATTATAATTCCTTACAAGAAATTTAACCTTATTTATTAACAGGAACTAACTAGATTTAATTTCTACTAAGTGCGGCAATCGCAGGAAAGTTAATCTCTTATTTGTTAAACACAAACTAACCTAACCTAACTCCTGGCACCTTGCACAGAATGAAACCTAACCGCAATTTTACACATTCGGAAAACATTCTGAGAATGTTGACACAGGACGTCCTCAGGACATTCCTCTTTGTAAATAGGACCTTCCTAGGACGTTTAAAGATCTTAACGAGGACCTAATGGGGACATATGGACCATTTCGGGACATCCTCCGAATGTACAGAACGTCCGGAACGTACGTCCATCGGATGTACATAGGACGTTTTTCTCCTATTTGGGTTTGAATACTGTCGTTATTTGTAATAATATGAAAAAATGTTATACACAAAAATTAGACGGTATAGAGGGGGGCATATTGTGACACAAACATTTTCTGCGTGGGTGAAGGCATAGAGGAGATTTCACGGTCATCACTATTTTTTTTAACGGAATGCTATGTTTTCTTATCGCGATGTGATAGCCGGTGTTGAGACGACTTCAGCGAGCTATCATTGAAGGTCATGCAAGGTCAAACGTGGTAGTAAAATAAACTTTCCTACATTACAGGAGATGCTCGAAGCGGTGACCGTTTGCGTCAATGCAAAGTTGCAATCTTCGTATTGCTGCATCATGATTGCAGCATGTGCTAAAATAAGTTCAGAAACGATAAGGCATGCACGTGATGCAGCGACACGAAGATTGCAACTTTGCAATGACGCAAACGGTCACCACTTCGAGCATCTCCTGTAATGTAAGAAAGTTTATTTTACTACCACATTTGACCTTGCATGACCTTGAGTGATAGCTCGTTGAAGTCGTCGCAACACCGGATGTCACATCGCGATAAGAAAACATAGCATTCCGTTAAAAAAAATAGTGATGACCTTGAAATCTCCTTCTTGCCTTCACCCACGCAGAAAATGTTTGTGTCACAATATGCCCCCCTCTATACCGTGTAAGTTTTGTATATATCATTTTTTCATATTATTACAAATAACGGCACTATTCAAAGTGGACATAGTTATTGCACCATCCTGTACAATAATAAAAATTTGCCAAACTCTAGGAGGCAATTTCATGAATATATGTATATACCACTGGATTTGGAATGAAATGCTCGTCATTTTTTGTATATAACATTTTTTCATATTATTACAAATAACGGCAACATTCAAAGTGGACATAGTTATTGCTCCACCCTGTATATCTTCCATAGGTGAAAGATTAAGGACAATTCAAGAATATCTTGTTACAGCTTCATGATTTTAATTAAAATATTATCGTATATTCTTCTGTTATGTATTTTATTCTCATCTTGGAAATGCTAATATTATCATAAGCTAACGCAGTATCACATTCCTACGCTGTACAATTCCGTGGGTTTTGGTACAATCAAAAAAGAATTAATTCTTTCCTTAAAGTATCGGTTACTTTGTTAAAACTTGAAAATATAAACTTTCATTCGTAGAAGTTTTATCATTGTACTTAGATAAATTAATTTTTTTTCAAAAATACATTACGTGTTTTTAACTGAAATTTAATTCTGTGAATATTATAATAATCTGCGATGCGTGTGTCAAGGATACCATTTTACTAACGAATATACTATAAGAATTTTGTAAATAGAAGAAAATATTTAAAGTACGTTCTCATTGAAGTTGACTATTCATATGAGTGTATTTAAGTATAAAGAAATTTTTCTTTACAAATTGTACCACGTATTTAGTACCTATATGTATAAGATAGACTATGACGTATTAAAGTGATCAAAATTATGAAAAAGGCTTCACCTGTGCACAGCATGATCATAAGGTAACACCCATGTTGATAAATTTGAAGGAAGTCTTGTAGAGGGCCTCTAATTAAAGGGACACAAAAATGTTGTTCTAAATTCCGACGTAGCTTACAGATATAATACGTGCAATTATTAAATTCAATACTATTTTCTCTCTGTTATTCTGTCAATTATTTGCAAAAGTATCAGGTAATTCTTGTATTAAAATTCGTAAATTTTATGATTTTTAAGATGATAACTTAAAAACAGTAACGTAATTATGTGATCGAGGTATACATATCCTTTATTCCAAAGCAATTATCACATTTCACGTTGTAGGTATTAGTTTCATCTATGTATATTGACTTCATTCAAAACAGAAAAATACATATTGAGATTATGCATTGAATTTACACCAGAATCAGAACAAAACGTTATTTTCGTTTCAATTTTAAGTAGGGTAAGTGATCCAATTATGGACAGATGAGTGGCCCGATGAGTTTGTTTTTGTTAAGAAATAGTAAGAAATTATTGATAATTGTTTCTTTTCGAACTCTCTAGTAAGTTTCCTCTGGAATCTCCAAAAAGTAGTTTTCTATGAAATAATTGAAAAGTAATGAAATACCGAACGAACATAAAAAAAGTTTTTTGCGCCAATTATGGAGTGTCTTATTAAAAGTGTTTAGTATGTTTTTTTCTCATTTCATTCCATAAAAGTATATTATTTATCTTTGCTTTCGTGCATTTAGGATTTCTTAACACTTTTGTTTAGACTCTTTGAAGAATCACGACAAAATTGTCAGATTCAACATTAAAATACGAAACTAGGTAAATAAAAGAGTTTAAATTGAAAATGTTTCAATTCCTTCATATAAAAGCGTAACTAAACTATACTCTATAAAAAAGTTATATTAGATGTAGTATAAATATAGTGTTTTTAATTCATAGAAATATAATTAACCCTCCATAATACAGACACCATCCGTAATGGGGTTATTTACCCTAGTTTGATTTCTTAAAGCTCCAGTCTAATATTTTGCACATTTCTATTATTCAGAGGCTATTCTACATTCATCTGACAAGATATTTAACAAATAATAAGAGGTCCTCTACAACTGAGAAAAAATATCATGAATCTCAAATCAAAGGGTCACGGTCCAGGTGATAGCGTTGTCACTCTGTGACTGGAGAGAAATGAAACTATTTCTCACCCCTCTGAGTTGAGATCCTCTGCTATCCATATGGTTTTTATAGTCCGGAAGGTATGGCGATATATTTTCCTGTGGGACAATATATTAATCACGCGATTTCGCGTTTAGAAAGTGGAATTGGTTGTCACGGTAGTCGACTACGATCGTATCGGCACCTCAGAACCCATTGGGAAGGTCGTCTTGGGGTACAACGCGAGCGGAACAGAGTTGAGACACTGGTCCGACATGTTGGCTTGCCCCAGACGTCCTATTGCTCAATGGCATACGCTTAAGGACCCCGAAGACGGCGACAAGAAGGACTAAGGTCACTGAGAGTTGTCCAGTATATAAGGTAATTGCACACCAAATGGTTCTAAGCAGACACGACAAATGTACAGAAGCAGTTTTTCCGTTTTCGTTTCCGTTCCGTTCGCTTTTCGCCCTCCCCTCCACTCCCCTACTCGATAAACTATAATATATTTTCCAACGATACCGGTGGACGATGTACCGCACGAGGCAGGATTACCCTGAACGAAGAAGAAAAAAAAAAAGGAAATGAAAGAGGTGAAAGGATATTAACCCACAAAAAAAAATAAAAGAGGAGAGAAATGAAAAATAATAGAAGAAGGAAGCAACGAGCCTCTCAAGTAATCGATCGTTTATTCACTGAAGTAATTATGCACGAAAAAGGAGAGAAACAGTGCGAGCGAACGATAGCGTGCGAGAGAGTGGGAGAGAAAGAGAGTGTGAGTGAGAGAAAAAAAAATATTTAGAGAGAGAGAGGGAGCGAATAAACACGAACAGAGATGAGGAAATAAATAGGTATTAGATATTAATAATCTATTATTAACTAAATAACAATAAATACCACCAAGAAGATTTTAGTATTAATAATATGTTCTCATGAAGTGTAGCGTCTTGTATATACGTATAGTATGTATATCTACTATACTTCTCTGTAGGTGTAAACATTGAATGAATTTAAAGAAAACGCGCGTCCTCTTCGAGGTATCTCGATGAAGCATTGAATATTTGCAGACACGCGGTTTTCACTTCCAAATACAAGAATATTTGGATACGCTCCAGTAACACATTTCCTTTTTGTCGTTTAACCAGAAACACACATTTGATAAGGTGTTTATAATATTACAACTAATGCTATTAATCTTACTAGAAATTATATATTTATACATATGCGTATACTATATATTTTATGTATATAGTATATAAAACATATATAGATATATAATGTATACGATGTAGATTGTGTCCTTGAATTGCGTGAGTAGCCGTGCAATTTTGTTTGAGTAACGTTTTAACAACATTTGTACAGACCTTAGAGTCGAGTTCGTGCAGAGTATCATTAATTATAGACAATTCTATACAGTAATCAGTGCACGTTATGGTTAGGATACGAAAGGCATTCTCGTTGTCGTAAATAAGTGAAAATGTTCTCAAGGGTCTATCACTTGTTTCCGTTCTATTTCAAATTAAAATTATGCTTATCGGAACACCTTTGTTCTGGTATTCGAGTGAATTTCATTTGTGTTTAATATTCATTTCGATCCACGTAGACGAATGTTTACCGACCGACCTCATTTTCATGCAAAAGGACAATGCTTTGACTCGCGATATCTTCGTATGGAAATCACCATAGACTATGTGCTACCTGTAATACATGGAACACAGTCGATCGAAACGACACAAGCCTGATGGACCGAGGGGAAAACGTGAGACCACTCGCCGTATAAAAAGACTAGAATAAAAAACGAACGGGGATACTACGACAGTTTTACTCGTGGGCAGACACTGCAATAAAGTTTTTGTTATAACTGCATCAATCGATTATAAGAATTTTACAAGCATCATTTCATAGTTTACGTGTTTTATCGAGAGAGAGAGAAGAACTGTTATAATCGATAGATGCACGGTTTTGCGGGGGTTTGCGCGTGAACGAAGCTTGAAGACGAGAACAGAAAGTGTATCGTTTCGATCGACGGAGTTCGAGATTGGCGGTTGCGGAATCCATATATCTCGTTTCAGGGATATACATATATTTAGACGATTTCTCGCGGTTCTGCGTCTTCGTTCGAAATATATATATATATATGCATCTACCCGTGCAACTGTAAACATATTCGTATATATACATATATGTATTATATAAAATTTACCACGTGTTATACATGAAGATACCGTTGTTTTTTCGAATATAACAGGCCTACCAATTCTATTGACTTACGTTATCGTTTCGTTAACCTATTTCTTGAACGATGAATCCAAAAGGAAGAAAAGCACAGTAGCGACGAGTCTACGGTGATCATTTATTTGTCTTGGGAATTCAAAAGGGACAAAAGAATACGATTCGAAGACAAACTGCTGTATATTAACACACAACTATAAGAGCGTCCTCAGATTATATGTGTATGTATATATATATATATACATACATATATTATTATACTGTATGTATCCTTACGAAGAGAAATAATGAATCAATTGTTAGAGAAACTGTCTTTATACAGTATCAACTGAGTTCGACTGCTGTACAAAATTCATATATTTTATTGCATCGTTGACCTTAAAGCTTCGAATTCGACTGAATAAACAAACAAGAAAAAACAAAGAAAACGGGTCGATTGGTACAATAAAAGTAGCGTTTTTTGCATGATGCGTGTCTAAAGTTTGGAAAGCACGTTATTAAAGATCCTTTTAAGAGAAAATTTCTTCCGACGCACCGATTAACCGGTTCCGGCAGTTCAAATCAACCGACAGCCACGCAATTTGTTGACATATTGTTACCGAGAGAGAGGAGAATCCACGTAAACGGGCCTTAAAGTTTTTTCGAGGTTATATCTCCGCCCCCTCCCTCCTTCTCCTTCGCCCAACCCCTTTTGACACTCGTCGCCGAACAACGCATACTTAGAGACTGTGTAAATATCACGCCACGAACATTTTCATAGTCCACACGGTCCCTTGATAACTGCATCTAGTCACACATATGTATGTCCGCTCGACTTCTGGTCTCATCGTAGCACTGAAATATTACGTTTGAAAGAAAAAAAAATGATTAGTTCTCTTCCCACTTTACCCTCGGTGTGACAAGCGTTCTGTACGTATGACGTAACGGTCCAACAAAAGAAAAAAAAAGAACAATGAATTGCACCTGACCGAGTTATACGTAATAATCATATAACAATATCATTATCGATAACGACATTAGTGATAATTTAAATCGTAAACGATAACCATGTCGCGAAGAATGTCATATCCAAAGACTTTCCAGGATACACTTATGATTTTTAGCTTTTTATCGTCCGGTAATCGCTGTTTACGAGATCCTGCACCTGTTCAAGTTTCGAATGCGAGTTGTATGAAAAAAAAGTGAGAAAAAAAGGAATGAATATAAAGATACGGATGTTCTCCCAGATTCTCAGAGCTGACTCAGTGATGTATATTCACCTGTTTATCTGTTACATCGTACGAATTATATGAACCCGAACGAATTATCGATTGTTACCGATAACTTCTAACGTATCGTGGGCGAGCCGATGTTTCATGAAGTTCAATGTTGACAAACTGTAAAATCGATCGTTGAGCATTCTGCACGTCATAAAACACGGGCTCGACGGATCACGCAAAGTAACGTGGAATAAAATATTTTTGTCTCCGTTTAATTAAAACGCGTATGTATTTAAAATGGAAAAGAAACCATAGATACAGTTGCTTTCGGAATACATGTACAGTCGTTTACGTCAAACAGCATTAATGTTCTCCATCGAATATCGTTCGTTACATTAACAAACACAATGTTAATTTAAGTTCACTCGTATGATTTATACCGTTCACTTAATCTTTAGCGTAGAATAAATTTTATAGCCGCGGGAAACGATACAGGGATCGACAGAAGATCACCGTTTTCTTTCCGGTTTCGTTTCGTACCGCTTTCCGACCCTCCGCCCGAGGGTCGTTCGAAGACTCGAACGCGAGAACACGATCGCAGATCGGGGATCTAGGCCAGACGAAAAAAGAAAAAAGAAGTATGTAGTACGTTAAGCCAGCCGAGATAACAACGCATGTACCGTTCGACTTTGCCGACAGAATTAATAGAACAATGTGTATACTGTACGCTTGCACTGACTTGCATCGCTTGTAAACTATACTCGATATTTATCCGATATATGTATACTTTAAACGTGCGCCATAACGAACGCTGTTTCGAGTTATCGGTTATTACCGTTTCTTCGGTTGATTACAAATTTTAGGATAACCCAGTTTTATATACACATATATATATATATATATATATATATATATATATATACATATTATGTATATGTATACATATATATACACATACGGAGTAGAAAAAAAAATATGTCGTTGAATAGTTAAAATCTGTGGAACGATGACGAAAGTAGCAATAGTTTCTGGAGTCAGTATACGTAGCAACGAGTTAATTATCCACGGATGGTTCGATGTGTCGCGGCACAGCTATAAAGTGAACAGCGTTTTCAGTCGGCAAAGTGGTACCACCGATTTAACCAGTTCAGTCTAAGAATGCATTCGTTAATATACACCCGGATCTGATCATCGCGACTAACATAAGGAGCGTAGAGTAGAGAGGTATGTGTAAGTTGTAGGCACGTAGAAAGCGCAGATTCTTAGGTAATGTCCATTCCATTTCCCATCTGGGATCCAACTATTTTTCTTTTTTCGTATCGTGTGTGAAAAGGCGCTTAACTACCTACACGAGATCACTTATATACCTAACCAGACTTTGTTTCTATGAATTTTTTCAGGACCAATTACCATAAACGATTGTATCGGTAGCATGTTCGAGTCATGCTATTGCGCAGTATTGTACTTAAAAACGTTTTAGCGTCGTGAGCCCGACATCGATCGAGAAGCCGCAACGAAGTCGCTTGCATGTGCGAGAAATGGACGTAATTGTTTTGTTTTCTTCCTTTCCTTCTGAACAACAAAATCCACTTGGAACCTCGTACCATCTTGTTTTATTTAGTTTTGTGTAGAAAAACTGATCGTGAGTAATGTGAAACGGATATAGAGGGTTGAAATAAAATTTGTTCACAAATTATATTGAAGTTTACAATAACTTCTACATGACAATGATTGGAAGGCCAGCATTATTTTCTCGGCTATTTTCTCAAAGTTACCAATGCTTTTTTACACTTTCCTCAGCAACAAACACCGTACAATTAAAGGAATTGTAGTTAAGAATCTACAATGGAAATGTAATTGATAATGGAACTAGAAATTCTTTAGAGTCATGATTTATCATCGTGCGTTAATCTCTTGTGTCATTGATTTTATTTTTAACATTTAAGCATTGAATTAACCGAAAAATTAGTGTTCAACTGTGAAAAGTGTCGTTGAATTGGTGAAACAACCAGAAAACTATAAATTCTACGTGAACAATAAATTGAAAGTATAGAATAATATTTTCAATTAAATATTTCATTTTTTCAAAGATCTTGCATGTGTACCTCGAATGTCCATTAAAGGCGAATGGTGATGTAGCGCAAACAACGTTTGCGATAATAAACAAGAATTTTCGATGAAATGATGACGTTGTTGAGTTGTACATTTTAGAGCGTGTGAACCAATAAACAAAAAGAATAACACCAAGAGTTTCTATTTACGGACATCCATCAAACATACTTAAGGGTGTAATCCTACTTAAAAAGTTGTATTTTTCGTGAAATTTATGATCTAGAATAAAAATAGTCCCAAAAGTTTCTATTGTCGCCCGCATATTTATTTATACCGTAAAAAGTACAATAAATTTATTACACAATTATCGTGTTATTTTTAAAGTAATTAGCAATTATCGACTGCGTGCAAAAAATATGTTTACACTCCTACTATTGTATTTATGCGACGAGGAAATTTAAAAAGTTATGCTAAATAAATCTAAAGCTATACAAATGTTACCGTTGATCTTATCAATACAAAGCACTTTAAACCTTCAACGACACAAAAATTGCTGACATTCATTTAATATCGTCGAAGACGATAGGGAGTAACGTATTTTATATTAAAAACTGAAGATACTTTGAAAATAATTTCTCTGAAAATTTCGTGAAAATTTCT